ACGACCCGGTAATCCATGAGACCCTATGCAAAAAGGTTAGAAGCAGCTTTACGAGAGATCGAGAAAGCCGACGCCGCCTGCAGTCGGGAATGGGCGTTGAAATTCATCGACAAGGCCCGCCATAACGAGTTCCACTGGTGTGATGGTCAATTGCGGGAGTTAAAACACGCCTTTCTTTCGCAAACCTTTTCAGCCGAATGATTAATTATTAGAGACCCACCTTTTATCTCTTTCACCTCGAAATCCATGAATGTGTTTGAATGTTAGCCAACTTGATTTTTTTAGCAGTCCATTTGGTGTACTTACCTTCTTGCATGCATCTTCTGTGATTTCGAGAGCTTCGAGATTTGTTTTGGTCTACCAGTGGAAAAAGGTTAGTTTGCGATGGTTACTTTGAGAAATAAAGATTGTACCTCATTGCCTGGAATAATTTAAGATGTTGATTTACCAAAGTTGTTGCTTGGAGGATGGTGAGCAGGAGGTGGTTGCTGCATCCCTATATAGATGAAGGAGAATATTACCGTGCTCCAAAATATTTGTAGCTATATAGAAGGTACCTGTTATCTCAAGTGCCGAGATTCTAAGGGACCCCGGTAGATGATCCAGGTGGTTGTGAGTAGGGAGTTCTGGGGAGTGAGGGAATGGGGAGAATGAGGGCAAATGGCTGGGACCAGTTGGCAGGAGAGGGTCTTTTATATTCACCAGGCAGCACCAGGGCTCCGCATCGTGCAGCAGCCGAGCCCACAGTAAGTGCAGCGGGGCAGCAGCTGAGCCGGTGGCAGGATTGGGATCAGCATCAAAGCTGCCATCCCGCTCAGCATTGACTTATCCCACCAGGCAACAGAATCGTCTGCACACTCCAGAAGACTGCAAGAGCACACTCAAAATCCACAGCGCGTCCAAAATGCTCAGCGTTGATTTTTCAACCTCTTCAGCAGCGTGCATTGCTGGAGTGCGTAGTGATCCAGAGTTATTTTAGTGGCCTTCACTTTGCCTCAACCAATTTGCCTCTGGCACAATCGCTGAAAGAGCTTTTGCTGTAGAGAAATGTACACGTTTGTTTCTTGTGAGAGTCAGAACTTCAAACCTGTGGGTAGGATTTGGAGCTAGTCCCTTTTTTCTTTTGGGGCTGGAGGGGGTTGTCCTCTATGTGTTTGATGGGAATCCACAACAAATACTGTACAGTCTAAGACTTGTGCATTCTCTGTTGTGGTAAGATTAATCAAAACCTATCGCACTTCGCAAGTGCCCATCTGGACCCATTTCACACTGCCTGCATATCATTTCTAAGAAACTGAGATACAGAGCACAGGGCTGTGAGCAACAAGAGATGGAATAGATTTAAAAGATGTAACAATCTTCAAGATAGACAACTTGAAGAGTCAACCATAATAAGTGATATGATGGATAGGTTTAAGAAATTGGAAAAGCATAAGCAAAGAGAGCAAGAATCATGATGATCCTACTTACACAGCAGATAAGGAGAACATGGTTGTGAGAAAAAACATATTGGAAAGATTTAAGAAAGACAATTTGAGGAGTTGACTGGAATAAGTGAGACAATGAATAATTTCAACTTAAGAAAAAAGAGAGAGAACAACACAATGAATGAAAAAACCATGAGTCATGCAACAATTTCTGATCCTCTTCACTATCCTCAACCATCCTCAACCATCCAATCCACAATACCATCATCATCACAATTACAACCCTCAAAACTGTGTCATATAATGATGGTCACCTCTACACACTTGATTTACACTCCCATCAATCAACAGTGGGTCAGCTACACTGACTTCAGCAGCAGTGCAGCAGAATACCACCCACCTTAAATACATTTTCTGTTAGCTGTTAGCAGTATCACTATATTGCTGATGTCCGCAGGATGAAATATGTGGCTGCTACACAGAATTACACTCCTTTTTAGCAGGCTTTTCTGCAATAAGTGGTGTAACACAGCATAGCATGGCCAACAGCTTGCAAATACAACAGCATTAGGGGGTGTTTGTTTTTGGGTTTGATACCTACTGCCAACGGTGGGCCGCTACGCTACACTACGCTATTTGGCCACTACATGTTAGCGTAGTTGCTTTTTTTTTTGCTGGAAATCCTGTAGTGTTAGTTCACGCTACACACCGCTGAGCTAACTGCCAGCGTAGCGTGAAATTTTTCCCTCAAATTTTTTTTAGTGTTAGCTTGAAATAATTGCCACTAAACTAACAAGTAGCGTAACTTTTTCCAAGCTAACAAAACTTCCACTAACCAGCAGCGTAACTGAGTTGATGCTAACATTTAGCGTAACTTATACCAAATTAAGCTACGCTACGCTACACTACATGCCTAGTTACGCTACACATGTAGTGTAGTGTAACTTGTGCCTCATCAATTAAAGAAATTGATGTGTCAAGCTGGATTTTTGCACAACTTATGTGAAATTTTCATATGACTGATACGGCCGAGGTCCACGGTGACGATTTTCAATGTCCCGTGATCGCACACAATCCCGCAGAATATGAACAGCACAAGATGTGGAGAAAAACAAACTGAGGATGTGCCTGGTGAGATTTGAACTCACAACCTCAGCAATGCTGAGTCACATACAAGAGTGCTTCCTTTACCAACTAGGCTACAAATGCTTGTGTTTGCCAGGTCAGTTGGGTGGTAGTTGTCATGGCCCATGCCCACAGCTCCACCACACTCTGGTGATACATAATGGTAGCAGAATATCATACACCTCAACACACACACACACCCCTAGCTGCATGATGTCAAGTGAAATTGACACAGTAGTGTGGATGGACCCAGTAAATTAAAATGGCAGGGGCTAAATTGAGTGGCCCCCAGTACCAACTGAAAAAAATGATGATCAATGAGGGGATCTGGATGTAGGCCCCCCAATCAGGCACTGTCTTCAGGGTAGACTAGCGCTAGTCATGTGGTCATGTAACTACATAGTCAGTTACACTAACAGTTAGTGTAACTTTTAATCAGTTACACTAACAGTTAGTGTAACTTTTTCACCAGTTACGCTAACAGTTAGTGTAACTGAGGGTACCACTACACTAACTGTTAGTGTAACTTTGCAAAAAGTTACACTAACATGTAGTGTAGTGGGTTCACCCACTAACACCGCTAAAATTTCACTAACAGGATTTTGGTTAGTGTTAGTTGTGCCTTTTTGAAGGTAGCTAACACTACGCTAAAGTTGTTTTTTTGTTTTTCAAAAATCCTGTAGTGTTAGTGGGCCAAAAATTCCCACTAACGGTAACTTTTGTGTAGTGTAGCTTAAAAAGCTAACACTACACTACACTAACACTACGGTTAGTGTAACTGGCCCACCGTTGCTACTGCTAGGTGACTATTTAGCGCAGTTTCACGTAGCAACCCACCATTGCATCAAGTCTAACACAACCAGAATAATTTTCTAGGTTGAGGGTATCACAGGACAGTTAAACTGGGATGCACTAAACCAAGTTAAACTTGTTTGGACCTCAATAAATGAAATATAACTCCAAAATAAATATGTGTTTCATTGGCTGGAATTCAGCCAAATTTAAATTGGTTGAGGATATCCCAGTTAGACTGGGATACCCTCAACCCAGCCAATTATGTTGGCCATGCAATAGAGGGATTCCTCCCTACCCAGGAGACTGTACGATCTTGATGACCAGATGGAATTCTGTCCAGTCATCAATACTGTTCTTGAACATGCATGATTGTGGTGCAGTCTTCTGGGCCAGGAGGAATTCCTATGTCAGGAATGTATCATCTTGATGGCCAGAGGCAACACTGTAACAGATAAAATATGCTGTGTGTATCATGGAGAATTCTGAAAAGCTGCATGGCCAAAAACCAAATTTGCTGCATCTCTTAAATATTTGCAAATAAAAGCACATTGGTCAGATAGTTTGTTTTATTGGGATCCAGAATATTCCAGATACATGGCAGATACTGGAGGACTTCCCGTCGGATCTGCAACCCTCGCAGATGTCGATTTAGACCCGAAAAGTCTAGAATTTCTCTGGGAAATCTAGCTTTCAAGGCCTCTAAATCACCTCTGGGAGACCCGCAGATTTGACGGGAAGTCGTCCACTGTATCTTTTTCAATTTTGCCAGAGGCAATCCCTCCTGGGTGTCAACAAGCAATTAGAGATGGCACTTTGCACCCAGGTACCTGTG